CTTTTCTACGATTGCTATAGTTCATTCCCGATTTTCATGTGTTTTATTTGACAAATGGAAAACAATGAAGTCTCTAGCAAGGCGCACATGTCATTGCATAAAGTGTTTGTTATAAAACTGCATATGCAATGTTTTGAACTATACATATTTTATTTCGCGTGTGGTTTGTTTAGGAATGCATTATTTTCTTTTTACAAAAAAAATGTGCTTTCGCAAATGGGATTAACAGATTAAAGAGTATATCCAATTAATTTATTTATCTTATTACAATAAAGGCATAACAACGACAACCTGCGAGCTTCCACATCACTGAAGAGGTGCCGCCGTCGATGCGTTTCCATTATTTAACATAGCGGGTCCCCATTAGGCCTATACTACGATCAGCGATATCAAAATTACACAAACGATCTATTTAAGTAATTAAAGTATAAACGAATGGCAATAGGATATCAAAAGGTTTCGATTAGAAAATCTTAATAATATGAGTTCTGCACTCAAATATAAAGTTTCTTCATTGAAGATGATTACGACAATTATTTTACATTATATTTCACACACACATGACGCGTGTAAATATCTAAAAGTAAAAGAAATTGAGAAAAGGACAATTATTGGGAAGAATAGTATATCGGTCTATTGAGATCACGTACTGGCGACTTCAACACAACAGTCTAGGAATCTAACGGATCGAATCTGAGCGGGCGTCTGCAACAATGTTGCTAACTATCGCGCGACTAGCAATACACATTGGGGCCTGCAGCGTCAGGTCGTTCACAGTCGTACAGGCAGCAGCATCATGGTAAGTAGTTCTTCAATAGTTATAAGGAAACAAGACGCAACACGTCTCATGTTTATTTTATTACTATGAAGGATATTGCGAGAGAGAATATTGTGAATTAATAGAAAATGATTTTCGATCCCGATGAAAACCTTTTTTTTAAATATTTTATATAAGCTTAAAATAAAGTTTGGGCAACCGAGAAAATTTGAAAGAGAGGAACCTTGAAAAGAAGTATAGGCCGATCGTAGTATAGGCCTACTGGGGACCCGCTACGTTAAATAATGGGAACGCATCGACGGCGGCACCTCTTGGGTGATGTGGAAGCCCGCAGGTTGTCGTTGTTATCCCTTTATTGTAATCAGATAAATAAATTAATTGGATATACTCTTTAATCTGTTAATCCCATTTGCAAAAGCACATTTTTTGTTGTAAAAAGAAAGTGCTCTCCATAGAGGGGTCTCGAACCATAGACCTCCCGATTCGTAACCGGGTGCACTACCCAGACGCCAGAAACATCTGTTTGTTTAACTTTTTTCGGAAGTGCTATTTCTAGAATTTCATCGTTTATTCAACTGCTTACCATTGTCGTTTCGCTTAGTTTACATATAAGCAAAATAATATAAAGATGCACATCATATTTGAGACTTAGGTAGTACAATAAATTAACTCTAATGAATACTTCTGTCACTTTATGTTTAAAATAGCTTTGAAATATTATTAGAAAAGAGAACGAAGCGATATATCAATGCTGTCTATTGGTATCATCAATAATCAATTATTTTTAAGACAAATAATAAAGTCAATAATAGATATAAATACATCATTGTAAGATTTTAATAAATGCGTTAGAATAATTAAATAATCTTTAGTAATATATTTTACAGCATGTTCCCACTATCAATACAACTAACACATCAATTGAATGCAACCAAACAATTACAGATTTATACTTTTAAAGTGACCCAGTAAAGAAAAACTCCAATTAATTCCAAAATTCATTATTTATGTATGATTATCAATATGGTTAAAAATATTGTAATTTCAAATGGACAATACGATATCCTTTGAATCTTAAGATATTTAATAATTTTAAAGAATCCTGAAATAGATTAGAGATTAAATTATAATCATATGTTTCACGCGAAGTATAAAGGCTGCTGCTATCAATAATTTTGGACAAGTCGATATCCTTTGACTCTTATGATATATAATAATTTTAATGAATCTTGAAATAGATTAGGGATGAAATTATAATCATATATTTCATGCGAAGTATAAAGGCTGCTGCTATCAATAATTTTGACTTGAAAGGTTTTACAAAGTTGATTATTGTTTTTCATAAATTAAATTTATATATTGCAAATACTATTAATAATACTTATGGCACGAGCCAACATTCACTGTGAGTATTCTGATCATCAATTTTGATTATTAATTTGTACGCATAGAAGAGAGACAGTGATGCTTCTAGACTGGCAATGAATTTTGAAACGTAAGCCTTAAATAATAATGCTGTAAACGCAGATATTGTATAACATCCTTTTGTAATATATTTCCTTAAAAAATATAATTAATCGGGGTTGTTTATTATACTCTATTATCATAGTCAGGTGTTGGAATAAAATCTAGAAACTTTTAGTTTATTGGCAATCGTGCGTAGCACAGCCATGGAATTCCCTGAAGAACGTCGCTTCCTTTTCCGTTTGGCTCTGACAGAGGTTCGTGTGAGTTTTTAATGGTTTTTAGAAATCTGTAATTCTTGAAACAATCGTGCTATCTTGTACGATATTTGAAACAGTGCAGATTCTGAAACGTTTTACAGTGATTGTTATGTTGATATATCTGGGACATTTCGAATAAAAAGCATTTATTTTACAGAACCAAAATGGTGCAGCGCCTCACGTATCGACGACGCTTGTCGTACAACACAAAAAGCAACAGGAGACGTGTGTAAGTTTTCTGATTTAACATTATAATAAACTATATTACATTTTTAATTTCTATTATTCCACTATGTACTGAAGGTTTTGTTATTATTGGAAACATTGATGTTTACTTCAAAGAGAGGTTATGTTTTGGTTGTCGTTCAAAATCTTTTCATCTATCCACGTGTGTTAATTATATGTACGATAATTACTGACTCCAATTACATAGTGCAATAGTTATCATTTTTTAAAATTTACTTTCGCTAACTGTTTCACGTGTAGTGTAGTGTCACAATTTTGAGGAACAAGTCACTGTAATTTCATTTTTGGATTTAAGATCTTGACACTTGAGATGTTTCTATGATTTATATTTTCTTAAGTTGTTATATATGTATATTTGTAATTTCAAAGTAAACTAATTCATGAATTATTAGAAGTTAATACCAAAAATCTTTAAACCTGGAATTTTGTTGTGTAGTGTTCGTACTCCTGGAGGTAAACTGGTATACCAGTACTTGAAGAAGCCTAAGAAGATCCCCAGATGTGGTCACTGCAAGGATAAGCTAAGAGGTATTCAACCTGCACGACCAATGGAGCGTTCAAGGATGTGTAAACGCAAGAAGACCGTGAAGCGTGTGTATGGTGGAGTGCTCTGCCATAAATGTGTAAAAGAAAGGTGAATATTATATACTAAATAAGAAATTATATCAGTTAATTACCAATTAAATTAAATTTACAGGATTGTCAGAGCTTTCTTGATTGAGGAACAGAAGATTGTCGTTAAGGTGATCAAAGCCCAACAAGCCTCAACAAAGGCAAAGAAGGAAAAGTGATCCGTACGCATCTTTTAATTTAAAATAAATAAAAAAAATCAAAGGAAAAAATTGACTTTTGTGTTTGTTTCCTGTGATGTATTTATTTTATTAAACATTGCATCTAAATTGAAAATATTGTATACCTATCTTGATACAATGAATAATCTTTGTAACTTGTGCATTATCAGAATTTCTTAAAATATTTTTATCTTAGTAATTACCTTTCGTTTTACACAAATTTATGATCATAGATGCAACATTTAATATAAAAACAAATATTTTCAAGAAGTTTAGATAATTTCTGTTTTCCGTCTTCATGTTTCTATTTTATAGTCTCGTTCTATAATTTATTACCATTAAGGCTGTATTCCATAACTTAATGACAGGTAACATTAATTTTAAACGAACTAGATTAAGTGATTACGGCCGATCGTGGAAATCAATAAATTCAATTAACAAAAAATAACCCTAACTGTAATTAATTATGGAATACAGCCCAAGTTTTATTATTCAGTAATTTTTTAGTAAAATTGTCCATCGAACTGCATCCAGAACTAACTGTAAATTCTAAATCAATCAGTGAAACGGTACGTTTTGAATGTTTAATATAGATATAGTACATATGACATGTTTTTCAGAAATTCCGCATGCGTCACATTGAAATTGGAATTGTCGAACATCTCCAAATAGAACTCCATTCATATTCTATAAAGCTAAATCACATTGTTTCTGCGATTCATTCGAAAGTTTTGATATAAATTTTTACCCTCATTTACACATCTTTTGTTTTACTAATGCTAATAGACTCAAGCATCACTGATACCAGTGACCGAAAAAGTGGGGAATCGGCTATGCCCGGGCTCGTATGGAGTAAGTACATACATCATATTAGGGGTTAGTTGCCGAGGAAGTTCGGCGGGGAAGTTGCTATGCTTGGGAGTCTATGGCTTAGTTTCCACCGTGCAGGGTAACCAGCAGCGTTATATCTTGACAGGTTATTGACTCAGCCAGGATGTTCGTTTAATATTAAATTAAATTTATTATAGATATTTATCTATGATATTTCAAAGTTTCTCTTTGATCTGTTCTCGGTCGTTTCATTTACCAACGAATTTCGCAATTCTTTTTTTAATGTTCATTTTCGGCATGATAAGAGGTAAAGAGTGAAAACCAATATTTCTATGCATTTTTTATAACCTTGAAATTTATTTGAATATACACATTTGTTTGCGCATTACGTCCATACAAATGTTTAGGGTTCGGTTGGATGGAAGATTTTGCTGCCCCGCTTGTTTGTCAAGAACGTTTTGTGAGGGGCGGCAAATTTTTCCCCACCACCGAGCATTCCATTCATTTCGCTGACTGCAATATCGGCTGGAACGATGATCATGACCCGCGCGGGGAAATTGTAATAATACAAAATCGAGAGTAAGGGATTGATTTCTATTTTTTTTTATATTTACTTCAAGTGCTCCAACGAATTGAAAGGAATTTGTGCGCTTCCATTATTTTGAAAAATTTATTGTCTCCCTATTGGCAGTAATAAAAATTTTACTTCGTAATAATTTCTACAATGCATTTGTTACAGTTACAGATGTTGCGATTCTTTTAGGAATGATACTTTTGATCCGCCAATTCTTCATTGGTGCCAATAGGAACATGGAAAATGTATTACCTCCCTAGAATATCTATACCTATGCACTAAAATACTAATAATTGGTATCAATGCAGAAGTTATTATTCTATCGAATATTAGCCATTTAAAACACATGCTGGTAAATCCAAAAGAATCCATGTTGCAGTATTTAAAACAAGATATTAAATAATTCTAAACTTGCAGTAGGCAAGGCATGTATGTAAATATTGACGTATATCTTATCTTCAGACATTATTTTGCACTGCAATGAATGTACAGTCGATTTTCAAATTATGTAGCCACTTTTTTAGTTTATAGCTCATTGCCATCTCAATTTATAGCTCATTGTGTTTCATCTCATCAAAATTGTTCACATATATTTTTTGTAACTTTTTTATATGTAAGTATGTAAATTCAATAATTATAGAGATAGTTATAAATGAGAGTAACTTAACATTTTTATTGCTTATAGACAAAAACATTTGATAGATGTAGATGTGCGACAAATTAAATAAATTTTGATAAAATTTGATAACTTTCACTGGAATAAAGTACGTTGTACGAGTTACGTACGGACGATAAGTCATTTGGTTTACTGACTGGTTAGAAATATGATGTTCGTGGAAAGGCATTGAAGTTTCTTGTATATTTCGCAAGTGCCAGACTGCTTCTTCCTTTGCTGAAAATATTTGCAACATTTTCATTATTATTTGATTGCATCATATAAAGAGAAATGATACACATACATAAATGATGTAAAAAATTAAAAAACTGCAAATCTTTATGAGATATGAATTACTTTAATATTTTTATTTATCAATGTAATGATAACAATTTTTAAACTTTAATATTGGTAATGACTAATGATTATTGTTAATTTAAAATTCTTCTTGATCCTACAAGTTGAATGTTATCCTAGGAAATTTCAGAACTCATTTAAACAGAAGAACGTAAATAAGATTACAATGTTTCTTTGATTTTTCTTAAAGCTTTACATATTTTTTAATGCATTATTTATTGTCCTATTATATTTAACTATTATTTACAACACCTTTAAGCGGTCGATTTGCCGTGAATAACCCTGTATGTATATTGTTTTACGAAAAAATGTTTACTTACGTCTCATTTTTATATTTCTTGCTGGTGTTTTGCACATTTTTAGTTATTATTTATTCTCCAGCAAGTGGTTCATCTTTTGGAATAATAGCTAGAGCTATTTTCATTTATTTCCCGCTTCACTGTCAGCTGATAATTTTACGTCGGTTATTCTTAGCGATCAAATTCCTCTTCCAGCTTTCCATTTCTCCAGCCAACCTTCACTAGCTTTAAACTCCTTGTTTCCATTAATTCTTCATTTAACTCCAAAGCCTTTCTTTGCAAGCATGGTCCAGAAACTGACTATATCTAAGTATTTACATGTCTTATACTTTGTATCAAAACCATTTAAAAGAATCAAAAGAATTAAACATTTAATAAAATATTAATTACCGTACAAAGTTTTCATTAAGAAATGTATGCTCGCATAGAAACAGTACTTTTATATTATATGAAGAAATAATGTATGTTTACATCTTTTTTTTTTATATTTCTTGCCAGTGTTTGAACATTTTTAGGTTAGTTTGTACATACAGTTGCTTCTCAATACATCACTCATATGACTCGTCACATTTTGATTAGTTAATGACCACATTCATCAAATTTCTATTTACACGTGTCTATTATCAAAATCAGTGTATGATATTAATAAAATACCAAAAACAAGTAAAAACTCAAATTCACTACCCGCTTCATTCGATACATCTAACTTCCTCTTACAAATCAAACAAGAATGCGCACGATGGAACATTTCCGTAGGAATAGAGTGGGGACACAAGAATTCTAATGTTTACTCTGTTGCATCCCAATGATTAGCTTTATGGTTGTCAAAATGAAATTTCGTTAGTCGTAAGAAGTGACGTATAAGACATAAGTGGATGACAATCTGATTAATTTTTAAAACGCTAACAGACGTACATATGTGTTACTTTTGACACCTTTCGTACTTCTATAGTTCTTACTTCTAAAAGTCACTTAAAATGACGTAGAAGCTAATACATGATCTGGAATTATACTTGAGATAAACAAATTCTCGATTAAGATTAAATGACGTACGCTAAATTATTTTGAAAACGTTTCTGACGTAAAATTTGTATTGAGGCAATAGGCTTAGTTTCCACCGTGCAGGGTTGAAATAGAGTTAACCAATCAAGTTGGCTTATTTCGCTCAAATCTCGATTTTAATTGGTTAACTCTATTTCAACCCTGCACGGTGGAAACTAAGCCTATTGCCTCAATACAAATTTTACGTCAGAAACGTTTTCAAAATAATTTAGCGTACGTCATTTAATCTTAATCGAGAATTTGTTTATCTCAAGTATAATTCCAGATCATGTATTAGCTTCTACGTCATTTTAAGTGACTTTTAGAAGTAAGAACTATAGAAGTACGAAAGGTGTCAAAAGTAACACATATGTACGTCTGTTAGCGTTTTAAAAATTAATCAGATTGTCATCCACTTATGTCTTATACGTCACTTCTTACGACTAACGAAATTTCATTTTGACAACCATAAAGCTAATCATTGGGATGCAACAGAGTAAACATTAGAATTCTTGTGTCCCCACTCTATTCCTACGGAAATGTTCCATCGTGCGCATTCTTGTTTGATTTGTAAGAGGAAGTTAGATGTATCGAATGAAGCGGGTAGTGAATTTGAGTTTTTACTTGTTTTTGGTATTTTATTAATATCATACACTGATTTTGATAATAGACACGTGTAAATAGAAATTTGATGAATGTGGTCATTAACTAATCAAAATGTGACGAGTCATATGAGTGATGTATTGAGAAGCAACTGTATGTACAAACTAACCTAAAAATGTTCAAACACTGGCAAGAAATATAAAAAAAAAAGATGTAAACATACATTATTTCTTCATATAATATAAAAGTACTGTTTCTATGCGAGCATACATTTCTTAATGAAAACTTTGTACGGTAATTAATATTTTATTAAATGTTTAATTCTTTTGATTCTTTTAAATGGTTTTGATACAAAGTATAAGACATGTAAATACTTAGATATAGTCAGTTTCTGGACCATGCTTGCAAAGAAAGGCTTTGGAGTTAAATGAAGAATTAATGGAAACAAGGAGTTTAAAGCTAGTGAAGGTTGGCTGGAGAAATGGAAAGCTGGAAGAGGAATTTGATCGCTAAGAATAACCGACGTAAAATTATCAGCTGACAGTGAAGCGGGAAATAAATGAAAATAGCTCTAGCTATTATTCCAAAAGATGAACCACTTGCTGGAGAATAAATAATAACTAAAAATGTGCAAAACACCAGCAAGAAATATAAAAATGAGACGTAAGTAAACATTTTTTCGTAAAACAATATACATACAGGGTTATTCACGGCAAATCGACCGCTTAAAGGTGTTGTAAATAATAGTTAAATATAATAGGACAATAAATAATGCATTAAAAAATATGTAAAGCTTTAAGAAAAATCAAAGAAACATTGTAATCTTATTTACGTTCTTCTGTTTAAATGAGTTCTGAAATTTCCTAGGATAACATTCAACTTGTAGGATCAAGAAGAATTTTAAATTAACAATAATCATTAGTCATTACCAATATTAAAGTTTAAAAATTGTTATCATTACATTGATAAATAAAAATATTAAAGTAATTCATATCTCATAAAGATTTGCAGTTTTTTAATTTTTTACATCATTTATGTATGTGTATCATTTCTCTTTATATGATGCAATCAAATAATAATGAAAATGTTGCAAATATTTTCAGCAAAGGAAGAAGCAGTCTGGCACTTGCGAAATATACAAGAAACTTCAATGCCTTTCCACGAACATCATATTTCTAACCAGTCAGTAAACCAAATGACTTATCGTCCGTACGTAACTCGTACAACGTACTTTATTCCAGTGAAAGTTATCAAATTTTATCAAAATTTATTTAATTTGTCGCACATCTACATCTATCAAATGTTTTTGTCTATAAGCAATAAAAATGTTAAGTTACTCTCATTTATAACTATCTCTATAATTATTGAATTTACATACTTACATATAAAAAAGTTACAAAAAATATATGTGAACAATTTTGATGAGATGAAACACAATGAGCTATAAATTGAGATGGCAATGAGCTATAAACTAAAAAAGTGGCTACATAATTTGAAAATCGACTGTACATTCATTGCAGTGCAAAATAATGTCTGAAGATAAGATATACGTCAATATTTACATACATGCCTTGCCTACTGCAAGTTTAGAATTATTTAATATCTTGTTTTAAATACTGCAACATGGATTCTTTTGGATTTACCAGCATGTGTTTTAAATGGCTAATATTCGATAGAATAATAACTTCTGCATTGATACCAATTATTAGTATTTTAGTGCATAGGTATAGATATTCTAGGGAGGTAATACATTTTCCATGTTCCTATTGGCACCAATGAAGAATTGGCGGATCAAAAGTATCATTCCTAAAAGAATCGCAACATCTGTAACTGTAACAAATGCATTGTAGAAATTATTACGAAGTAAAATTTTTATTACTGCCAATAGGGAGACAATAAATTTTTCAAAATAATGGAAGCGCACAAATTCCTTTCAATTCGTTGGAGCACTTGAAGTAAATATAAAAAAAAATAGAAATCAATCCCTTACTCTCGATTTTGTATTATTACAATTTCCCTGAAGAATAATGTTTATTAAAAAAAAATTATCGCAAATATGATATGAGTTACAACATCAAGATGACTCTTTTGATGGTGTTAGACAACTATTTACTACAGCTCCGTGACATTAAATCATCAGAAATATCAGAAGATAACTTACCATTTAGATACATAAAGATTTATGTACAGGTCGGTCTGTTTAAAATGCATTTTCCCGATATAGTTATATCCCAGATCAGGAGAACGATCTGCGGTATAGTAAGGAAGAAAAGAAAAGAGAAGGAATACCAGAAGGATGTATTGTATTCCGAATATGGGCAACAAGTGTGCAACCCGTCTCAGGGTGTAAGCCAGCATGTGGAGTGTACTCGACAAGAGCCTTATTTGTTGAATACACTCCGTCTGTATATATAAGTACCAGGGAGCATACGGTATAAGACATAGTAGAGCAGTACAGCTCGCAGAAATGCCATACTCCGTAAAAGTCGTAAAGGCTTGTCCCCTGGGAATGCGAGCGCTTCGAGTGCACCAGAATGGCATTAGCTCTGAGTTTCGCACAGGTTTTGTCTCCACGAACCTTCACAACTGTCACTGACACAACATACGCCCATCTACAGAGACTGTAAAAGGAAATTGAAAGTCGTGCCGTTCTTCAAAAAACATCAGGTGGTATTCTTGAGTTTAAACCAACTTTCAAACCTGATTATACAAATTGAATCGAAATGTAAAATATGCTATGTAAAACAGGACCTGCATAAATGTCTGATAGCAAAGCGTCTAGAAATGTGCTACCAACCGTATTCAAGCTTATCAGCAAAGGTGACAAGGTGCTTCCACATTTAGCTGTTAGATTGCACCTCACATCTATGCAAAAGATAACTGTTAGTAATAAAGCTTCTAACAGCAGGAATATATAATCAATTGGCGATGTCGTAAATATTTGTGGAACAGTAGTTGCTCATCCCTTTGTGAATAATGTATCAGAAACGCGTTCTCTAAATGTTGCTCAACAACTCCTGCTTATACTTTGCATGCTATTTGAATGATACAACCAGAGAGTTTATAAGTTTTAGACAACTGGGAAGTAAATTGTAGATATTAGTAATCTTCATTTTTTTTTATCACGCTTCCCTATCTCAGATTTTTTTTCTGTGCGCAAGAGAACAAAACTCTAGGAAATAAAATTATAAATTTCCGTTATTCGACGTTATTCAAATTAGCAAACACAACATAACAGTTGGATATGGGTAACGTTATAGTTTCCTACTCAGCGGTATAATAGTTCCATTAATAAAGTATTTTATAACTATTGCATCCTTGAACAGACAATTTTAATATTACCGATATGTAACTGGTACTCCTTTGTTTTCTGGAAAGAAATATGGGATAGTGTATAATAAATTATTTACTCTGTATGCTTCTTCTTCACTTCAACCATACGTCATACGAATACCTATATCTGATGTGTATATATACATATATATATTTGCTAATTGATATATATTCTAATTCTGTAAAACTGTCAAGACTTCAAACCTGAATGAATTCTACTGTTTCGTATAAACGCAGATAGAATGCTTCAATACTTTAAGGCTTGGTGAAGTAATCGAGGCTTCTTATTGGCCAGTAAAAAAGAAAATAATGAGCGAGGCGCAAGAACATTGCGATGAAAACATTACACCGGATGCGGTGCCGAGTACAATTTCACGGCGACCGCTTCGCTGTTTGAAACCCTTTTTTTCGAATCATCCTGCCCTTTCCTCGGTCTTCTCCTTATTCCGTTCATTTTTTTCTTTTCCATCATCATCCTTTTGCTTTTCGTCCCCTTCACTGCTCCAAGTTCAGATTCACGTTCCTTTTTTCTAATGATTTGAAATAACCACTGCGGTTAACATGGACAGCTGGAACGGTGGAACACGGAATTCTTTTACGAACCTTCGTTTCGATTCCATTACTTTCAACTGTTAATTTGCTATGACATCGTTGTCGTTGAATTCAATTTTGAACCATTTAAGAATTACGAACACGTGATTTTTCGGCAACTGTCATTTTCATATATTACGGTAAACGTCCCAGTGACCGAACACCTCCCAGTTACCCGACTTAAGCGTATGTGCAAGAGAGATGGAAATACGATTTCTTATGGACGTTCGGGGACTGGGACCGTAGCGTTAGGTGCTCGGCCACTGGGACGTTTACCTTAGAAAATGTTTTGGAATGAATCAAAGTTTTCATCCATTTTATGAATATTAGACTATACTAATGTAGTAAACGTCGAATAGGTAGTCTTATCGTATAGTTCAGTAATATTTTCTTGCCTGTTATTCAATATTATCTCGAGTTAGATAGCGTAATCGTATAAATGTCAACAGGTATCGCTCCTGTTATATTAGATACTGTACGTCGTTAAAGTTTTTTATAGAATTTATCACGATATCTCTCAATAACGATGTCATACGTGAACATGGTTAATTTTGGCACTTTAGATAAGAGTATTTAATGATAAACTACATATACTGGGTCGTTCAGCCCAAACGTACCACCTAAAGTCAGCGCGCTGATTTGATTCTTATGGTAAAGATATATTCAGCTGGTGCGTTTGGGCTAAACAACTGGGTATATTTGGATCGTAAGATCAGTTTGATATCCAAGGGACTCTTTTGCACTGTGAGTCGTAAGGAGATGGCCCCTAAAAGTGAAACTAGTCTTGCGACCTCATCATAAATTTGCTCTACATAAGATTCAATTTTACGCACAGTACCTCTACTTTTTGTTTATACCCTTTCTTTTTAACCTTTAACTACACGCATGCGGTCTTAAAGACCTCACCAATTTTATGTTTAGCCCTCCTACCAAATTTGTCTCTGCGTAAATTTTCAGCGAATTAAAAAAAAACCTACTAGATATTTATTACTTGATACTTGGACATTATGTTTGTTTAAGCTACGAGGAAAGCGACGTAAAACTCTACTTTTAGGCTATTCTATTCCTTGCAATGGCCTCACGATCCAGTTCCACAAATTGGGGTCTCACAGACCTCGTCTTGTCAAGTATGTTTCTAAGGTCAGACCTGTGTAGTTAAGGGTTAAATATGATAATTTACATATTCATAATACAATGAAATGACCTATACAGAACAAATATCATAAGGATATTGCTGAAACATCCTATAGACGTTCCGTAAATATTCCACGAATATTTTCTGCTATCTAGGAAATTAAATCAACTTAAGTTACTTTTAACAATATGTTTCTATGTTCAACCAACAAGGAATTCTTTGAAGGAAGTTTGTCAAAGTCTAAGGAAAAGTATAAAAACCTCTCTGCAGCTTTGAGAATTAATATAATTGATCTTTCTTATCTTAATAATAAACAACTAAATTTTAAGGTTCAAATTTCATTAATGATTTTCTTTGACACATATATAATTATATATAATAAAAGACTACAGCGATAAATATGAATAAATAAAATTGTTTGGTAAGCCATAAAAAGGAAAAGATATTTTTTAAGATCAGAGAGTGTATCTATTAAAAAAGATGTATCTGACATTTCACATGATATCAGTCATTATGCCAAAAGTAAATGACATCTTTCCCAAGATTGTATAACTTTAGAAGGTATCTTAAAAACTGTGTAGATATTTTCATGGAAGTGAAATGTCCTTTCAATTTAAATGAACTGGCTGGTCGAGGTCTATTTTGTACATGAGTAAATGTCAAACTAAGAGTCGAGTCGACGGATCGGTAGCAATTGTCCAGTGTCACGTTTAATTGACGGGTTGTAAGAAGAGCGGAGTAAGAGCATGCAATCGGGCATAATTTGCCGTGCGGGTAGAACAGCATGATTCCTATAATTTTCGAAGCTGGTGTTTGACAAAATAACAAGTGGGTGGGTGTCGGTTTTCACACCCGTGGCCCGGCGGGGCATCTCCGGGGAATGTAAAAAAGGGCAGAACACAAAACCGGTCCCGATGGATCTTTGTTATACCGGCTCTCGTCTCGTCTCGCCTCACGTCTCTGAATAAGGACTAAACTCAGGGCCGTGCTTTTATCTATTTTCCGCCCCGTTCAATATTTTTTAAATATTTGTAGCCTAAGAAATACATACCACAAAGTATACTCATTCCAATATTCATCTATTCCGATTGACGGTCGAGTGAAATAAATGTTTAGTTCTGTTCTATTAATAATATTTATGACAATTATTTTTTGGGCTAAAATTAAAAATTATTTGGAAAATAATCTTTTTTTAGATTAATGTTCTTTTAAATACTTACCAAGAAAAGCAGTTCAATGAAAAAATTACGCAAAGATAATATGAGTATAATATACAGTCGTGAAAAATACCAATAGCTCAGTACAGGCTTCGAAGAATTCTTCGTATATTATATATATTTATATTTCAAGAAAAGCATATCTGTCTAAAACAAATTATACTACTTACAATAATATCATAAATCAATTCAATTCTACACTAATACTCATATTTTTCAACAATTTCGTTATATAGTAAATCCATTATTATACAAACTGGTTAATTCGAATGATTAGAAAATTTGCCGGGTAGCGAACAAAGTGGACGGAGGATATAAAAAATAAAAAAATAAAGGTTCCAATTTGTTCGTAGTCCCCTGGGCGGATAAGAGAGTTCCCTCCTTAGTGTAGCATGCGGCCCTTTGATCGAGCGGCAGTCGTCCCAATTCACACCTGACTTTTAGTGATAAAGAAAGCACCTCTAAAGATATCCTTATCCTCCTCAGACTCGCGATAGATCGGGACAACTTAAGAGCTGTTATCGCTGCAGGGAGCCTCCCGTGGTAGTCGAATAATCATACGAATCCGATTCAATTAATTATCTCAATACTAAGATGTACAATATTAACCCTGAAAAAGAAATCTGCTTTTCTGTTA